CCCCCCCCCGGACACAATTTCATGCTGTGATGTCATGCTGGCCATGCCCCGCCCCCCGGGTCAAACACAACCCTCATGTGGCCCTCAAGGAAATCGCGTTTGACAGTCCTGTTCTAGAATAACTGAGACAGGTTTGCTTCTTCTATTAGGTACAATACATGAAAACCACTAGGTCTCTTTTTTTTCCCTCTCCACCAAATTTAACTTATTAGTTTTTCAACTATCTCTCACAAGACTGTTTTCCAGACTTCACCATTTGGACTCATCCACCCAGAACGTCTTCCAAATTGTATGTGTTGAACTAGACTCAGGGCAAATGGCCTCTGCACCCCAGATGCGCTGGGACAATTGGGAGACTAGAACAGAACTTTTTGTGACTGGACATTTCCCAACTTTATAATCATTTACTGAATTATATTTGGAGATTGTATCAGAGCTGCTTTAAATAAAGTCTATTTTTTTCCTTCCTATCTTCCACTCACACAAAAATAAGTCCTTTGGAATTTAGCATGAAGTTGCACATTACGTATCAGCCTTGCTGTGTGAGATTAATGGGAAGGTCACCCTCCTGTTGTGAAATCTCCATCACATTTCATGCCAGGTGTAATCCCAGTGCTTACTTTGTTCTGTTGAAGCAGTGAAAGCCGCCGAAGAGCAATGCTTTCCGCCGCTTCTAGTTGGCAAATTTCATCCATCTTCATCTTGTACTTTCTCAGCTGCTCCTTGATGATCATCTCCACACACCTATGCATAGGTAGGGAAAAGAGAGAGAGCAAAAGGAGAAATGGAGAAAACAATCATAGGTCATTCATGGGCTCCTCCTTGATGGATAGATGGAAGAAGAGAGGATGAATGGATCAGGTGAATGCGCGCATGGATAAACGGGCTGACGGAAGAGACACCATTCTCCCAACAATGCAATTATGAACATGTCAGAGCAGGGAAAGTCACTAGATGGCCACAGGCACTGATGCCGTGTATTTTAACAACCAGCCAACCTCCATTTCCCATCAGATCCACCTTTCTGTCTCCCTCTTCCTGTAACAGAGATACCATCCAAGTTCTACCATCTCTCACAGGAAGCCATCTGAATCAGAAAAAGGAAATTGGTTCAAGAAACTTCAAAAGGAATGTGTCAGGCTGGAAGCCACCTTTTGCACTGGGCCTTCAGGCTTGCCACGCTTAATGTTGTGGGAAAATGGGAGGAGGGATTATATGCAGTATGGGAGATATATAGTCAAAATAACATTCCTTTCTCAAAGAGTCAAGGACATTTTGCCCTGCACCTTGAGGGGTGTGACTGGGAGGCATCTTCAGTTTGGACGGGGTCTGATTGGACCATGTGATGGACATGTGGGTGCTGGGCAGGGACGTGGACTTTCATTTGGGTGGGGAAAACATGGAAACTTTCAGATTCAGGTTGTCCCAGATGTGCCAGTATGACATCTCTAATAAAATGGAACTTTGAGGAAATCCATGCCTCAGAGTCTTCTTTCGTTGGGGGTGTTACTTGGAACCCTGACAATGTGGTATTTGGTCAGGAAATTGATAGTGAAAGATGGAAAAATTAGATTCAGGCTTCTATTACTTGCAGGGAAAAAGGGAATAGATAATACCGTAGTCAGATGATAGAAATAAAATTCACCCTAAAGATCTCTGGAACATTTACTTTTTGGGACTGCTGAGACTAGGCCTGATTATACATGTAGAGATTAATCAGCAATGCCTGTTCTACCTAGAGCACTGAAGACGTTTATCTGTTCACACAATTTCTATTATCCAGGAAAGGGCAGAAGCCTCACTGTTCACAGGCAATCTAGGATAACTCACGTGGTTGTTTTGGAGACATCCTTCATGCTAGTGAGAGGATCCAAATTGTCAGGACAGCGCAAGAGGCAGGGGGCAAAGACAATGGCGAGGGCATTGGGTGACATCCGATTGACTTCTTCTACTACGGCCACCCTATATTTGGGTATGAGAATAAGATTTTGTGTGTGTTTAAGCATGCTAAGCTAGAAGGAGGAGAAAAAAAGTTATTGGCTTATACTATTTACATTGGTAGCATCTTTTGCCAACCCACTAACCGTCAGTTGTCTTCATTAGCTAAATATTGTAGTAAATTTTCCCCCATATAATAGTTCCTTTTCTTTTTTTATATCCAAAGTTTTTTTTTAAATACAAATTGACACATATTATAGAAACAAAGTGTTGACTGGATCTTTCCTTTTACATCCTCTCATTTACGCAATCCATTTTACATCACGGTTTTCACTTTCAGCCAAATTATTTTCTTCAATTATTTTCCATTTTTTATACTTATTTTTTCTTAATAGATAAACAATATCTTCAATTGCCCTTTCAAAAATTATACTAAATTAATATTTCATATTTCTCTATAGGTCTATTTTACTATAAAAAATACATATACTCCAATTAAGTTTTAACATAGAGAGCATTTCATTCATTTTTTTCTACAATTAACAATATACTATAATTTCTTTATTTCTTAATTAGTTACATAACAAAACCAATCATACTACTATTCCCTTTAATCTACTAATACAACTCTTTTTCCCTTTCTTCCGCTTTTATCCATTTTCTCTTGAGCTCTCACAAATTCCACTTTTAATCATTTTTCTTCTTCTCCCCTTTTCTCCTAACTTCTTTTTCTTTTTCCTGTTTTTGTGGTTAATGTATCTTTTCTTCAGAGTATTCATTTTTATTATTCTGGTACTTTTCCATAAGGTTTTCCCTGTTCTCCTCTCTTCCTTACTATCTTGTGGTTTCTTTTTTGGGGGGGAATTCTCCCCCTTTGTCTGCTTTTTCTTTGTAATTGTAAATCCCAGTGAAATCATTTGTCTGCATTTTATTTTCAAATTTTCTTTCTTCCACCTTATCTTCTTGCTCCTCATTTGTGCCCTCTTTTACCCCCTCTTCTCCTATTTCTTGCTCTGTATTTTCCCTTTAATTTTCTATCTTTTTTTACCAATTAACTTTTCACACACATTTTTTTCAGCGTCCCAAATAATTCCATACTTATTCAATTTTAGCATTTATCCAGTCCAGTCCAAGTTGAGGGTTTTTTCTCTTCCACAGCTATAAACAGTTGCAGCCAAACAATGTTATAATAACAAATACTCCTTAACAATTCTCAGTGTTTCAAAGTATATTTCCTGTAGCCAAGGTCACACTTCACAGCTGCACTCTCACTTTTATTTTATTTTTTCACTAGCCCATGTAGTATTTTCTGCTCGCCAGTAGATGGCTCTCTCCAAGCCGCAATACAATCCAATAGCTGTCAAAAGCGCTTTTAAGCCACAAACAATAAAATAAAACAAGGAGAAAAAGGGACTTTTCCCTGGGCTCTTCTTCCTTTCGGTTATTAATTTTTCTTCACTTCCAAATTGCAGAAGAAAAAAATCCTCTGAGGCTTTGGTGCTTTAACCTCCTCTGCCTCCTTTTTCAATAAAAATCCCTAAAAGCCAGTTAGCCGCTAATTCCACTCCAGGACCCTTTTTAAGATTAAGATCGTTTTTTTCTTTTTTTCTGTGACTTGGTCAATCACTCAGTCAGTTTCAATGCACCGTTCAAACACAGCTCCAGCACAATAACTTAGTTCCAGATGCCCCGGATTTGTAGCGGTCATTCAGTTATGGCCGCTGCGCCCGCTGCCAGTTTGAAGGGCTTTTCTCCAACCTCTCAAGGAACTGCCGGTTCCTCTAGGTCCGTGATGGCGAACCTATGGCACGCATGTCACAGGTGGCATGCGGAGCCATTTCTGAGGGCACCTGAGGCATGCATGCGCTGGCCAGCTGATTTTCGACTTTGATTTTCGGCTGTTTTTCACCCTCAAAAAACCACCAAACGTGCAAACTGGAAGTTTGGGAATGGACTTCCGGTTTGCATATTGGACTGTTTTCTCCCTCCGGAGGCTTCAGGGAAGTCTCCTGAACTCTCTGGAGGGAGAAAAACAGCTCAATGGGCAACCTGGAAGTCCGTTCCCGAACTTGCGGATTATGTGTTGGACCGTTTTTTGCCCTTTCCAGGCTCCTGGAAAGCTTCGGGAGCCTGGGGAGGACGAAAAAAAAACCTACCAGGCCCACTGGATGTCAGAAAACAGGCATTGGGGGGAGGGGAGGTCATTTTTGCCCTCCCCAGGGTCCTAGAAAGCCATGTGTGCATGTGCAGGGCAGCAGGGGTGTGTGTCACACGTGCATGCACAGGGGGCATGGCGTGGGGGGCATTAAATTAAGAGGGCTGGGCATGCACACATGCGTGCTTTTGACACCCGAGGCAAAAAACGGTTCGCCATGACTGCTCTAGGTCATTCGAGATGTCCCTTCTTCTTCCCTGTCCCTCCAGGATGGTTCCAGTTTGTCCGGCTGGATTTCCACGAGGCTCGGCACAGCCCCTTTTTTCCATCCGGTCTTGCCACAACTCTTCTGGCTTCTCTCTATAATAGTTCCTTTTCCATACAGTCTATTTTTAACTTCTTTCACTATACCACCTACCACCATTGAATAAGATATATAAAACCTATATATCATCTGTATATTCAGTCAGATTGTTACTGAACCAAATCCAGGATGCTCTGCTTCCAAATGATATTGCTATCAAGGGATATTGAAGATTAGATCTGGATCTTCTGAATGAAGAACAGGTACCTTCCTGTATATTCCATCTAGTAAGCCTTTTTATAAGAAATACATTATAGTCGCTTCCAAAGGTGATGCGTATGACTTTGGTTTGTTTGAGAACATGGTTTTATATCCTGCCCCATTCTGGAAGACTCAAAGGAAGAAGATACTACTAATCTACGAAGATAACACCACAGAAGCAGACAAGTATCTAAAAGACTTCTTGCATACCATTAAACACAAAATGCTCATCAAGCAGATTTGAGGAATTCCACATTTTGGGAGGCAAGATATTAAAATGGGAGGATTTTATTAGCCTCCCACTACCTTGATTTTACAGGAGTGGGAACACTCAACAATCCCTTCTTGTAAATAGGCAAAGAAACTGTCTCCCTAGATTGGGAGGCAAAACATGTATGGCTTTAAAGGGGACAATATTCAACCATATTGAATTGGACCCAGAAGCAAATACTTAAGCCAGGGGTGTCCAAACATGGGAACTTTAAGACTTGCGGACTTCAACTCCCAGAATTCCCCAGCCAGCCATATATCACTGGTGTTCCGTGGACAAATTGCTCTCACTGGTTAGCAGATGAGCCATTGCACTTTGGATCCTAATGAAGACTTCCAAGGCGCTCCCTTATAGACATACATGCTATAATTGTTTAATTATCAGATGACCAGAACATGAGTCAGTGTAGTCATGGTATTTTCATCTAGGTGTCTTGCAACTTCATTGGAAGTTGGGCAGCAAATAAATAAATACATAAAAAATAAACTGACTTGCCAGTTGGAATAAACTACCCTCACTCCCACCACAGTTTCCCCCTCAGCAGAAGCCATAATTCCAGAATGACCAGCAAATTCCAGATTTGCTTCTTAAAGAAGAAGGCAAACCCATCAAGATGTAAATCAGAATTGGGACAGAGCCAAGTGGCTCTCACCAGAGTAACTACAAATTTTTACTCTTCCTCCATATGAGTTTACTGAAGCCCTCCACGAAGGAAGGAATGGCACCACTGTAGAACAGTATCTCCAATCCCCAACCTTCCCAGATGTTTCAGATGTATAACATGATCTATGTTGCCTTCTAATAAAATAAATAATTGGTGTATCTTCCTTCTGAAAGGCTTTTTGGGAGGTTTGAAAGGGGATTTTTTTTGTATGTAGGATGAAAAGTATATTCCTACAACTTTCTGGTGCTTTTTGGAAAGTTTGTTTTCCTGCCAAAATCCACTGATCTTTTCTTGAGTGGTTTGTGTGTTTTGAGAAGTAAATTTTCTGGAACAGGAAGTGGTTCATACATAGACTTTAGTCCTGAAACTACAGTCATAACTGCACGAACCGCCAGTTCCAGAAACTTATTTTCATAAAGCAGATGAACCATCTCTAAAACTGTTGGCTTAGCAGATTGGGGAGAAAAATGGGCATTCCAGAAAAAACTACTTCCTAGAACAAACCCCACAGTTTTACTTGTCTGGATTTTCCAATCAGTCATCTCCATAAATGGAAACAACAGGGGTTGAAAACAGAATAATAGACTTGAAAGGGACCTTGGAGGTCTTCTAGTCCAACCCCTGCACAAGCAGGAAACCCTGTACCATTTCAGACAAACAGTTGTCCATTTGCCATGATGGAATGTTCTGCAAGCAAAGCAGATGTTTCCCCAATTGTTAGCCCTTCTTATTTCCCACACTGCAAAATTAAGAAACAAGGGAAATGGTCTGTTTCTATGAAGCCTTGAGAAAGGGGATGATGATTTTAACTGATTTACTTTTATTTAGTTTACGTAGATTTTTTTTTATCAAGCCTTTATTATTTCTATAAATAACTCAGTGATTATTTTAAAAAGGCCTCTTGATTTCAAACAGACCTTGTTCTGTTTATACTTTATTGACCTTGGAATCCTGACTTCCTACAACATAAATTTCAAACAAACTGTAGAGTCATTTTTTAAACGATTAAAGTACTTGGCCAAATGTTCTCTGGCTTTTGTAAATTTCAAATCCACATCATCTCACAGGATCACGGCTCCAATCCCTTCCCCGACCACAGGGGGAAGTTAAATTACAAGATGGTTGTCCTTACTTGACAAGGTGGAAAATTAGCCGTTCCAAGGTGTCGTGATTGGCCTGTGGGAGCTGCTCGAGGACACTGTAAATGGCATAGAGCTGCTCTTGCTTCTCTGGGAGCTCTGCAAGGAAGGAGAACATAAGGAGGATCCAGTTAGAGATCAGTAGTCCTTGACGTACAATCACAATCGAGCCCCAAATTTATGTTGCTAAGTGAGATGGTTGTTAGGTGAGTTGTCCCCATTTCATGACCTTTCTTGCCACGGTTGTTAAGTGAATCACTGCGGGTGTTGAGTGAGTAAGACAACTGTTAAGTGAACTTGGCTTCCCCATTGACTTTGCTTGTTAGAAGGTTGCAAAAATGTGATCACATGACTCCGGGACATGGCAACCGTCATAAATATGAGACAGTTGCTGGCTCTGAGTTGGCTCAGCCTTCCATCCTCCCGAGGTGGGTAAAATGAGGACCCAGATTGTTGGGGGCAAGAGGCTGACTCTGTCAACAGCTTAGAGAGGGCTGTGAAAGCACTGGAACGCGGCATATAAGTCTTATTGCTATTGTGATCCAAATTTTGATCATGTGATAATGGGGTTGCAACAACTGTCGTAAGTGTGACAAATGGTCATACATAACTTTTTTTCAATGACATTGTAACTTTGGTCACTGAATGAATTGTTGTAAGTGGAGGACTACCTGCAAATATTTGGTGTCTATCTAGTCCAGGATCCCTATTTCTTACAGAAGCCAATGGGAGCCAATCTCACACCACTTGAATCACCTCTTTTCTCTCAGATGCTTCACTACTTACCCACCGCCCGAAGGAAGTCATTGTACTGAGCAAAAGTCATGAGAGGATCTGGTAACTCTCTCAGCCATTGTTTGAAGATCCCCGTGATGGTGTGGATGGGGTAGTTCTCTAGCAGCACTGAGTTTGGGTCTGAGAAGGAGAGAAGAAACGAGGAGGGAAAGATTGAAGCTCCTTAGTCTATGCAAGATGCACAGGAATGACAGCTGGGAATGTAGTAACTTTGAGATTTGGCATCAAAAATTTGAAGATGTTTTCTCCCTAGTGCAGGAACTGGCAATGTATGGACTTTCGTCTACTGTTGTTTTAAAATTCAATTCAAGCTAGCCCCCCTCCCCCCTCCCCCCCGTGGTGTGCAAGCATGAACCGAACGGATTAACACTGTTCTGTGGCATTCTTACAGAATGCACCACAGGGGGCGGGCTAGCTTGAATTGAACTTGCAAACAACTACTTTGTACTCACACTATAGTCTCCTGGCCATATGCTAAATAAATAGGCCCAGCACTGTAGCTATTGACACGAAATACATATTATGGTCAGTGATGGGATTCAGCTGGTTCGCACCGGTTCGGACGAATAGATTGCTAAACTACCACATACCCTACCCACTATCAAAGTGGATCCTAGGCACTATGCTAGGCTGCCATGGAGAAACGGGCAGTGGAGCGGCTGGCACGAGGGAAGGAGAAGGCCGCTTTCCCTCTTTCTCCTCCTCCTCTCGTGTTGGCTGCTCTGCTGCCCATTTCTCTATTACAGTGCCCAGGATCCACTTTGACAGCACGGGGGAGGGGGGGGGAATTTAACAACCGTTTCATCCAGGGTCAGGTTGGCCATTGTGGAAGGCTCATCCCGCATGTGCGGCAGAGCTGGAGGATGGGGATGGGCCACGCCAACCTGACCTTGGATGAACCGGTTGTTAAATTATTTCAATCCCACCACTGATTACAGTCTAAAAATTTCTGAAGGGTCACAAGTTCTCCACTCCTGCTCTGGTCCTTTCAGGCCTGCTAAGAACTTTGATTTTTCTACAGCTTTGTTTTTTTTCTGATTTAACTTCTTTAAAATGGTGGCAATGCTTTGCTGTGGTTTGTGCCCTTTTCCTTCTCTTTCCTCCTCCTCCTCCTCCTCCTAAGACAGCCCACAGGCAATAATGCTACCAAGCATCCTAGGGAAGAAGCACTTCCAGCCTTACCTGTTTGCAGGGACTGTTTCAACTCCCTCATGCGGTTTGCTGATCCTGACTTCCGGTAGATGCCTTCAGTGTAGAGTCCATGCATCTCGACATATTCCAACAGCTTCTCCATGACAATCGGGACAGAGTTCTTCTCACTAGTCAGAACACTAACACTGACCCCAAAGTGACGGGGCTCTGGGTCTTGGTCACCCTATGACCAGAAGTGGAAGACGAGATTAACGATTTTGCGACATACACTGTCATACAAAGGAGGAATGCAGAGTTTACAATTAAAGCTTCGGCTCTCTTTTGAATAATAGGTACCGAGATAAACCTGGATTGTATCATTTCTGATAATAATATAAGGAGCCCTGGTGGCACAGTGGTTAGAATGCAGTATTGCAGGCTAACTCTGCTCACAGCCTGGAGTTTGATCCTGGCAAGACTCAAGGTTGACTCAGCCTTCCATCCTTCCGAGGTGGGTAAAATGAAAACCCAGATTGCTGGGGGCAAGAGGCTGGCTCTGTAAACTGCTCAGAGTACTGTAAAGCATTATGAAGTGGTATATAAGTCTAAGCGCTATTGCTGAACTATTTCAAGTTAACATGGTCAAATATTCATTTCACACTGAAAACAAGCTGAAAGGTATTTTTTTAAAAAATTTGGGTTAAGTGTCTGTATGTGGATGCTCTTTCCTGAATGGAGACTATTTATTAATATTGGGGGGGTGGGGGTGGAATTCTGCTAACTGAAGCATATTTAAGAAGTGGTATAATTTTGACAGGAAAAGTGGGACTACTTTCTCCAGCCGCTTACTCAGAGGCTCCCTGGAGACACTTCGTTGGTTGCTTTGGGAAGCAGGATGTCAGTCCAGATGACGGCTTGGTCTGATTTCAGCCCTTACTGAAATCTAGTGGGAGGACCTAAATTCTGTTGGGGTTGAATTCTACCCTTCCTGAGTGGTAACCGAAGCCAGTCTCTGTTTTCCCACAGCAGAGACTGGCATGTGGAAAGCTGGCCAGAGAGGGGCTATGACCTACTTTTTTTCCTTGTGAGGATGTGCATCCACTTTGGATTTTGGACAGGCACTTCTTATGGCAGGTCAGCTTACAGACTAGAAGAGGAAAGAAAAAAAGAAAGAAGGCTTGTGAAAAGAGAGCCACTTGTGGTCTAGTGGTTAAGGTACTGGAAAACAAGAGACTGTGAGTTCTAGTCCTGCTTTAGGCATGAAAGCCAGTTGGTGATTTTGAGCCAATCACCAGGAGACTGAGAGTTCTAGTCCCACTTTGGGCATGGAAGTTGGCTGGATGACTTTGGGCCAGTCACCTTTCTTTGCTCAGCTCCCAGGATTGTTGTAGTATGGAAAATGGGAGGAGGAAAGAGTATTAGCTATGTTCACTCCTTTGAGTTATTTATAAAAATAATAAAGATAGGATAAAAAAACCTAAACTAAACAAACTAAACAATAAAACTAAACTAAACTAAAGTATAAAATAAAATAAAGATTTTGTTCCCAAATAAAAATTCTTCTTTGTGGAGACAAAGTTTTAATTGAGTGGTGTTTGCAACATGGAAGAAAAATGCTAACTTCTCTGAGAAATCAAGGACAAGAAAAAAAAATTCCCATGGAGAAAAAAGATAAGGAACTTTTAAATGAAAGAGGAGTATAAACACAGAGAAAGCAAAACTGACTTATACAACCACACCATCCCTGTGGTGTAGATCATTTTTCTGTAGTTTGAGCCGTCCAGGTGCATTGGGAATTTTAGGAGTCGTGGTGCCAACACATCAGGAGGGCCCCACAGTGGGGAAACCTGAGGAATAGGAACGCTTCCATTTTTGGAAGGAGGTAAACAAGAGCTCTACTTGCTTACTCTATTAATAGGAAAGACAATTTCCTATTATTAGCAATGACAGTTTTATCTCCTACCTCCCAGCCCACAATATTATGTCACCGTAAATGAAAAGGCTCATTACAATCAGAAATACCCTGGGCTGCTTAAAAGCAAGAGTATCATCCTATCAATTCACACTTACTGCTACAAAGACAAGCCTTCTCCATAGGCCAGATGTAGGAACAGCACTGCTCGCAAGACTGTAAGATGTTCACTTGGTAATTCACAAATACATGGCCATTGAGTTCCACAATCTGTAAACAGTCACACAAATATCTGAATATACTTCACTTATTCGTTAAACTTGTATTTTTAGGTTTGTGTTTTCTTGAAAAGGGAATCAAAGGACTATAAAGAAAAAACTGATCTTGTAAACATGCTACTTATTATTAAGTCAATATTCTCTATCCCAATTGATTAAAAACATATTCCAGTCTATTGGGCATTCTAGAATGGTGATTTTTTTTCTGGGGTGTGCTTTGTCTTTAGAGTATACTAGGACTTCCTATCCATTTAATTTGGTGTAAATATTATAAAAAACTTGAAGTTGCTTGCCAACACATTTCCCCATAATTATTGCATTTTCTGGTTGCTCTTCTGCATATGCACAAATGCACTTTTTTGAATTTACAATGTTATTTCCTCCTATGAAGTCAGACTTGCTTTCCCCCAAATGTAGCTCATGCCACACCAAAACATAAAAACTGAAAACACCATAATAATTTCCATCTTCTCATTCTCCTCTTCCCCACCCGTAAAACTTTTTTTCTCTTTTCTTTTAAAGCAGGAGCCTCCAAACTTGGCAACTTTAAAACCTGTGGACTTCAACTCCCATAATTCCATTTCATGCTGTCTGGGGAACTCTGGGAGTTGAAGTCCACAAGTCTTAAAGTTGCCAAGTTTGGAGACCCCTAGGATAAGAGATAGTTCTTACAACTGGCAGCACCCAAACCTACTCCTAATTCAAGAGCTAATTTAATATTGAAAATCACAAAGAACTCACCACATGTTCCTGTTTCCGCTTTTTTTTTTGAGCCTTGCTCTGCTGTTGGAAGAGTAAGAAGAAAAAAGGATTCTTTTTCACATCCTTTCTGTTCCAGCTGAGCTAGAACTCTAATGAGCTAGATCTCTTCATTAGAGCTGATCTCTAACGAAGAAAGGTCAATTCTTGGCATTCAGCAGTAAAAAAAATTGCTTGGAGTCTGGGAAGCAATATTCCCACTTCTATGGCAAACTGCAGCATTGGCCCCTTTTAAATTTTGTAACCAAATGAATGATTCAGAGGGAACATGCTGAGCAGTTAGATAGCAGACAGAATAACAAGGGAGTGTATGATGAACACAAGTTGCTACTAGTGTTTTCCAAGCTTGGCAATTTCCAGGTGTGTAGACTTCGTCTCAGTTTCATTTGGAGGGTCCTACATGGTGGGCCTTTTCTGCTGTGGCCTCCATTTTACAGAACATCTTTTCCTTGAAATAAGGCTGGTCTCATCCCTTTTAGTTTTCCAAAGCAATGATGGGATTCAATTTTTTTTACTACCAGTAAAGCTGATGTGGTGGGCGAGGCAAGGGAAGAATACTGTAAAATCCCCATTCCTTCCTGATCATCTGGGACTTGGGAGGCAGAGAATAGATGGGGACAGGGCTAGTCAGAGGTGGTATTTACTCGTTCTCTGAACTACTCAAAATTTCCACTACCGGGCAGGAGGAGCCAACGTTACGACAATATGGATGTGCTGTCTCGATGCTCCTCGACCGCAGCCGATACTTTTGCCACTGGGTGGTCCAATCGGACCTAAACCGTCCTGCAGAGATGGTGAACAGGAAGAATATGTCTTGCTGACCTCAGGGACATTGCAAAGTTCCTGATTGATGCAAGAGAAGTTCTTCAAGCCGGCGACAAAAAATCCAGCCAAGGCTGA